CCATGAATTGGATAATTTTCTAGTCACAACTCTTTGTGAGATGACTAGATAGCTCGCAAAATTTTTTTAAATTAATAATTGTAATGAATGTCAATTGAAAAGAATCGAAAACTGATACAGGGATCTAAATCCAAGAATTGGTGAGTAATTTGTGAATGATCTAACAACTAGGGTAACTTGAGAGTATCAAAAGTAACTGATCTTCCAAATAGCTTAATTCTGAACTGGGCAAAAGTCAAATAATATATGATGTCAAGGGACGAGAACAATCTTTTAGTTGACTTCAATTTATAAAAACTGTTCAAAATTTTCTAACTATTATAAAACACAGAGACTAGTTAAGTAGTTCCTAGACCGCAGTTTGTACAAAATTGAAAACAACTCTCTAAAGAACCGTTCTTCAAGTCGGACATTATATATCTGAGGTTTGGAAAAAATACATCACAATTACTTACGGTCGTATCCTTTCAGAGTCGGACAGGTGGGGCATGTGATAGAAAGCGGATTCCATCAGCTGGAACTGCGTCTGGTGTTCTTTCAGCAGCGGTATCGCGCCCAGTGGCGCTACACCGAGCAAAGGGGGTATGTGAGCGTCTGACATTCCTTGGCTTTGCGACTTATTCGACTCGAGAATGACCGAGTTGTTTTGCAAACCCGCTTGATCTATCACTTGTTGCGCCATCGATTTTAGGGTTGTCATGCCCTCTGAGATCTGGAAAACAGACAGGAATTGAAGATTTTTTAATTTATACAGGGTGACTCAAAAGTTGTGAATTTGTCCATTTATGAATCGATGAATGAATACGTTTATTTAGGAAATCCTAATACACATACTATAATAATAAATCAGTAAACAATAATATGTCCGTGAACAACAATAATAATAACTAATAACTAGCGTCATACATATGACTGTAACCTAACAATGTTGAGAAATAAAATAGAAAAGGAAACAAAATTGAAAGTCAACTAACCTAGATAAGACTATATTAACAATTTAAAACATACTGATACATGATAATA